TACCGGGCCGCTCCCCGCCATAACACCCGCCCCAGCCCCGCAGCTCCTCGGGGCCCTTGGGAGCTTTTCCCGAGGGCGATTTCCTCGCCTGGTCCTGAGCTCACGCAGCCGGTGGGTTTCTTTAAATCTTCCAGCTGAATTTTCCCCCTTTTTTCCAAGTCGTTTTCTACTTTTCTAGGAGTTGTTTGGCAATTCCAAAGGCGGAGGGCTCAGCTCTGGGAGAAGGGGAGGCTCCTGAGCTGCCCTCCTGTGTTTTTTGGGTACACTCTTGGGTGGGAAGGGGCGAAACCTCGGTGCTGTCGGAAGCCAGAGCCGGCCGGGGAGCGACTGCTCCTTCCCCGGGGATTTGGCGGGTGAAATGCCGGAGGAGCCGGGTCTGTTCGCACGGATGCGCCGCTCCTGCCCTCGTTTGCTGCCGTAATTACCCTCCGGCGTGAAAGTGAAGACTGTTCCCGCTCGCTTCGGATGCACGTCGGCCGTAAGAGATACGGCTTTACGCGACGAATTAACAGCAGGGAGTAAAAATCTGTTCGTTATAAACTCCGGCTGCTCTCGCCTCTGTTAACGAGCCCATCCTCATCCCCCTCAGTGCTTCCATGGGCTTTTCCTCCGCTGGTTTTTATTTTCACCGATGCCTTTCAAACTTACACCAAACCCCCAAAGAGTTTTTACTCCCAATAACGCTGAACTTTCCCCGCTCTCCTGGGCAGAAGCTTTCCCAAGAAAACTCCTTAAAGCCCCATTATTCTTTCGCTCCGTACCGCCTATGCTACCAAACGATTCGCGGCGTGGTTTTACAAATAAATACCGGCAGCGCCGTCGCTTGTAGGGATGGATGTCAGAACGTAAAGCATTAAGCTGGTAACGAAGTCGGTAACGAATTTGTGTCGCTTTACGGGGATGCCGCTTGACCAAGCTTGGGGTTTTTGTGTCTGCGTCATCCGTCAAAGTTTTGGGGTCGTTTGAGCGACTTCGAGCGCTTGGTGTTGTTTTTAGGGAGGTTTGCTTTTCCCCGTTTGTGGTGCGGCGACTTCAGATTAAGCTTAAGCATTCTTATTTAAGCTCCGTCTAAGCGTGTTGCGGCAAAGTTGAGCTCGGTTTAGCCGAGAAAATGAACCAAACCTCTTCGGGCCACCAAAACATCGGAAGATTTCAACCTTGCGAAGAGGTAAAAAGCTGCCGTAACCCCGCAGCGTGCGGGATTCGTCTTGGGTGGGATCGCCGCTGGTAGGAGCGTTGGCGGAGATGAACGTAAATCGAATTTACCTCGCCGCCGGCTCCCGGTGGTCGAGCGAAGGCCGCGTTGCTTTTTTTTCTGGCGTGTGACGCGAGGCCCCCCCCCCCCCGCCTTTTGCCTTTCAAAAAGGCCAGGCGAAAGAAAAATATTTGAATTCCCTACGCCTGAACTCGAGGAACCGCGATAGCGACTGTAAATAAACGCGTTGTACGGGACGGGAAAACCGCCCGCGCGAGGCCGCTTGTTCCCACGCGGCTCCTGGGCTTTGCGCCTTGGCAGCGGGCGGGATCGGTCGCTTAAAAGTAGTAAAACACGACTTTCCTGATCCTTTTATCCCCCCCTTCCATCCTTAAAGCTGAATAACTGTCGCTATCTGATGATACGGAGCGTGACTTCGGTGGAGGTGACCAGCAATTAGCTAAATTACCGCGGGCAACGAAGCCGTCGTTAGCGTAAATCCCGTTTCTGCTCTAAGGGGAAACGGGAATCGTGCTTTAGTGGGAGACGGGCGCGGGTAGGAATCGGTCTCACCCCCGGCAAACAACCTGCCGGTCGCTCTAATTACTTTTTAATCAAGTTATTTTATTTTTTGTCTTCCACGCTGCGGTCGAGGGGAGCCGTGACCCGGCGGACGTAATCAAACGCCCCTCGTTCTCGTTTCTCGAGCCTTTGGAACAATTTCTCCAAAGTAAACTTTATCGTCTGGTAATTATCTACTGGCAAACAGGGTTTGGATCGGGTTCAGGAATGCGAATCATTTATTTGCAGGGAGATATTTTACCTTAACCCTCGGCGAAATCCCGGGTGCTCCGCCGAGAAGGAACCCGGCTGCCGCTCTGCCGGCGAAAACGGGGTGAAATCAGTGGGATTTGAGGTCAGACGTCGGCGTTCCCTGGATCTGGCGGCATCCCGGCCCGGTTGCTTCGTAGGGATGGGTGACGTTCCGCGAAATGCTAATTCCTTCCTCGTTAAAGCAGCGGGGGTCGTTGCCTTCCTAAAGATAGAAGGGGCACGAGAATAGGACGGCGTCCCGGTTTGGGAGACAGCGGCGGGTGGGTCACCGTAACCTGACTGGGAGGGTTCTCCAAAGCCTAAATCCCCCCCCCCACCCCCGGAAAGCGGCGGCAGATCCTGAGATAACCCAGCCCTCCAAGGGCTGAGCGGTATAAAAGAA